TCAGGCTTCTCACTCCTCAACTCATGATGAGGCAATCAATGAGGAAGAGGCTAGGCAAATCCACTCCGTCATTGCCAACTTGGTAACGAGGGTTCTGATTGAGCCAAATGAGGTTCCAAGGATAGTCATTCCACCTAACTCTGAGAGTCCTGTGCATAATTTAGATAATCAAGACAATGTCACGCACGATGTTGAAACATTGGAAGCCACTTCACAAGAGGGCAATAACAAGGGTCAAGGTTCTGAGAATATGGATGTTCACATGCAAGGTGACCAGAATGATGATGTGGCTGACACTATAGATCGTAAGGAGTACTCTGATAATGATTTGATAATCAAGAGAAATCCTGGTATAGCCAAAAGGCTCATGACAAGGAAAGGGAAGAAGCAAGATATGCAACGCCATCCCAAAAAGAAGACTATAGCCAAGAATACCCCTGTTGGGTCTGCTAAAGCATGGAGCAAGGTGGTTCCAAAGAAGAGGAAGGCCCAATCTAGTACTGAAACTGATTCTACTTCAGATGATGATGATGATGATGTATCTGAAATTCCATCAAAGAAGAAACCAACCACTAGCAAGCTTGCTAGTGTCCCTGAGGTTCCAATTGATAACATTTCATTTCATTATCCCTCATGTGTAAATAGATGGAAGTATGTTGTTCAGAAGAGGCTGGCATTTGAAAGGGAACTGGGACAGAATGGTATTGAGAGCAAAGAAATCATGAATCTCATTCATGATGCAAGATTGATAAAAACAGTTAGTCAATTCTCACAATACTATGAGTTACTTGTCAAAGAATTCATTGTTAATCTTTCAGAGGAATGCGCTGACAGGAAATCTAAAGAGTTGGCAAGGTGTATGTAAGAGGGAAGTGTGTTACTTTCTCTTCAACAACAATCAACAAGTATCTGGGTAGGTCAGATAGAGCGCAGCCTGATGTAACTGTCTCTGAAAACAAAATGTGTCAAGTGATAACAGGCAACCAGGTAAAAAGCTGGCCATCAAAAGGAAAGCTAGTTGCCAGCAAATTGAGTGTCAAGTATGCTATGTTGCACAAGATTGGTGCTGCAAATTGGGTGCCCACAAACCATAAGTCTACTGTGGCAACTGTTCTTGGAAAGATCATCTATGTTATTGGGACCAAGGCCAAATTTGACTTTGGGACATATATATTTGATCAGACTATGAAGCTTGCAGGCAGCTATAGCATCAAAGGCCCCATTGCATTCCCTTCACTCTTCTGTGGCATCATTTTGAAACAGTATCCAAACATTCTCAAGAAAAGTGATGCTGCAAGCAAAAGAGACAACCCCTTATCATTCCATTCCAAGCTGTTTCAAGGAACTCATGTTCCTGACATTGTTGTAACATCAGCTGAGACATCCAAGTCTAAATCAAGGAAAGCTGAAGTGATTGCCATGCTAAAGGAAACCTGCCAAGAGCTGGATGCTATGAAAACTCTTGAAGCATTGATCATAACCCTTGAGCGAACTGAATATGTTGAGTTCAATGATGAGGATAGGCAAAATGATGGGTCAGAAGAGAAGGATAGCCAGGCAGCTGATTCAGAAAAAGATGCTGCCAGCTCAGAGGAACACTCTGGTCAAGGAGAGGACAGGGATGAAGATGGCTCCCCTGATGCTGAGGAGACTAGTGATGAAGAATCTAAGAAGGTTAGTTCCAGTTCTGCCTCTGAAGAGGAAGAATGACATGTGCTGATGAAGTGTTGTGGAGCTTAAGCTGCTGGTTGCTGAGCTGTTTTTGTGAGCTGCTGGTTTGAAGTTTTTTTTTGTCTGAGTTTTTTTTTGTTAGACTTATTTGACAACAAGAATTGTATTATCTTTGTAATGCTTTCTATGAGCAGTTTGTATAATTTGCCCCTAACAATTGCAATGTTACAATGTTTGATCTGTGTTAAGTCCTTAGTTGGATCTTAATTTGTGGCTAAAAAGGGGGAGAGAAAGATAGAGTGATAATAACAGCAGGTGGAAGAATAGGTGGTCTGCAGAACAGGTGGGCTAGCATATGTGCTAATGTGTGCACATGGTATAGTCATGCTTATAGGTGTGACCACAGGTGCTGCTGAAGATGTGTGTGATAACAGCTGCCTAGTGCTGTTAGTAATATGCTGATGCAATAATGTGTGTGAATTCCTATGGTGTATAGGAATGTTTGTTGCTAACCTTGTGTGATCCTAGAAGGTGTTTAGGAGTTTTGTGTGTCTGCAGGATAGTAGCATATGTGTTGTGCATCTCTTCAGGGGGAGTAGCACAACTGCCTAGTGCTGTTAGTAATATGCTGATGCAATAATGTGTGTGAATTCCTATGGTGTATAGGAATGTTTGTTGCTAACCTTGTGTGATCCTAGAAGGTGTTTAGGAGTTGTGTGTGTCTGCAGGATAGTAGCATATGTGTTGTGCATCTCTTCAGGGGGAGTAGCATAGGTGTGTGTGCTTCAGGATGTTATGACATTACTAGATGAATATGTGTGACTGCAGAGTGTGCAGGTTAAGTGCTTAGCTGGTAAGGTGCACCAGTCGAGGGGGAGTAACCCAGTGTGTTACTCAACAGAGTGTGACATCTATAGTGGTAACTAACAGATGGTTAACAAGGTGAGTTATAACAGTGAGAGCTAACTGTGAGGACTCTGAGAGTGTGTTGAGCTAGTAAATTTCCTGCATGACAGGGCACATGATAAGTCTTCTGCTGTGTGTAAACTCTAATATGTTAACAGGGTGTTTTAGCCAAAAATTTGCCAAAGGCGGAGTTTGTAAGTGCTCTTGATTGGCTGCATTTTGTGGCAAAACATTAGAGTTTGCATGTATGTCATACTGAATGTTAAGACAAACATAATGATGTGTGTGCAGGGTAAGTTAACTATAAGTTAAGTTGAATGTCATACAGAATGTCATGACACTGACCGTATGACATCCAGCGGGCAGGTTAGTTTTTCTGGTATCTAGAAATTAGGAAACAAATCAGGAGCTCAAGCTGAAAGACAAGAGACATTTGTGAAGTCCTAAAGCGAAACAAGTGCTCCTGAATTAAATGGCAAGCGTGCAGATGATTGAAGAGTAGGGTTTGTTATGATTAAAACCTAATTTATGCACCAAGGTCCAAAGGACTGACTGCTGCTATAAATATCAGAAGGAGCAATCCTAGAAGAGCAGCTCTTAAAAGAAGATCAGATAGTGCATATAGAGAGTCTTTGTGAGTGAAGTAGGTTGTTCTTCACGTGAGTATTGTGAGTGAAGAAAGAGTGTTCTTCACGTGTGAATTGATTCTTAGAAATACTTGTTTACCAAGCAACTGTCTGCTGCATTAGTTAGGTAGGTTCTAGGTTGCTGTGTCTCACTCAAAGTTGTTAAGCAAGAGTGTGTGATTCTTGATCAAAGCTTTGAAGCAAGATCAAGGTGTGTATGAAGTGTTTCTTCATCTTTATTTTGTAACTGTGAATTGTATATCATTGTGGTGTGATTGAGGGGGAGTGAGTGGGAATACTTAGGTATAGAGTGTCTCTAGGTTGAAGTGTCATTGGGTAGGTTTTAAGTAAGGAGTGCAAACTGAGTTGTTTGACTCGGAATTAATTCTACTGATAGTGAATTTCCTCCCTGGCTTGGTAGCCCCCAGATGTAGGTGTTGTTGACACTGAATTGGGTGAACAATTGTTGTGTGGTTTACTACTTTTACTTACTATTTAATTAGTTAGTGCAGTAGTCAATGTCACAGTGGATGTTATAACTTTGATAATAACATCCATTGTGTGTTTGCCAGAATTTCAATGCATATGACCATAGTACTCTTATATGAATCTTGGTAACTCGGGTTGTTAAAAAATCATGAATTGAACCAAATCGACGAACTGAACTGAAGTTAAATAATTGAACTGCTACCGAATCAAAAATGATGATGAAAAATACTAAACATAAGTTTTAATTTTAAAAAATAGTTTAATGGTTCAGTTCTCTAATAAATTGTTAGTTTGGAGAAAATTGTCTTCTAACGAATTGAAATTTCTAAACGGTATACCAAACGAATTCTTTTGTTTCGGTTCTGAATAAATTAAAACAGTTCTATTCAATTTGAGTGAACTTTTAATATAGTTCGGTTTGGTTCAGTTTTTTCATTGAAATGTATAATAAATAAATCTATTGGTGACAAAGTGTAAAAAAAAAAGTTTCTAAAAAGTACTCTAAGGTAAAAATTTGACTTAAATTAAAGACTCTTAATAAAATCAGTCAAAAACTGGTTATACTCTTTTATATAAAAAATCGACTATACATAAATAAAAATTTCACATCTTTATGATGCAATTGAAAAAACCTATCAAAAATCACACGAATGAACTCAACAAGGAGAAATATTTGCATGAAAACATAACAAAATTTATATTCTTAGAAATATTCAATAAGAGAGAAAATTTTAAATTTATTTAAAATTTAAGTTGTTTTTTAATTGGATTCATGGAATGATTGTGATTACGAAGAAGAGAGAAAAAATTATTTTTATTTTTTAATTAATAAAAATATTATGATTGTGTGTAAAATTATTTATTATAATTGTTAAGAATTTTCCTTAGGATCCTTAGATTTTAATAATGTTTACATTTGTTTATATTTAAGATAAGAAAATATAAATATTTTTTTCTTCTTATATGCAAAACCAGAATAGTCTCTTACTCTTATACTCATTCACTTTTGTAAATTTTATTAAATTAGAAGCTTTTTACCTAAATCAACCGTTAATATTACCAACTGTGGCACATGTGTCCCATGGAAAGAGGGAACAAGTATAAGAATGAAATCAATATTTACTTGCAAAACAAGTTAATAAGATAGTGAATGACTTCTTCAATATTGCATAGCTTGAGATTGAGATGTATACATTTAAACTAAAAAGAAAATCACATTATAATTTTTACCACTCTGATATCTATGGAACTAAATTTACAAGATCAAACAGAACTATTCAATACTTTTGTAGCACAATATAATATTCGTCATCTTGTAGTCTCTTTGGTTAACTTTTGTGGTCCAAAAAATGCTATTCCAAAAGCAACAGGTAGTGATAAAAGCTTTTTAGCTTTTCCTACATAAGCCCTTTTAGTAAAGTTATTGTAGTCATTAGCTTCAATAGAATCTAAAATCTGCCTATACAACAACAAAGATGCCCAAACAGGCCATCTACTAGCAGAACTAAGCTCTGAAACTCCCTTCTCTGCCTCATCAAAAAACATTCTTGCTCTCTTTATTTGTCCCTTCATAAAATTGCGCCACTTGTCGGTTACTCGGCCTCGGAAAATGTCGTCATCTGATAGGCCTGCTTTTGCTAATTCATCTTGTGGAAGATACACCCTTCCTCTTCTAGCACTATTGCATGAATTAAGTAATTAGATAAAGAATCAGATAAATAATGTATTTGGTTTATAGATCAGATACATTAGTTATTCAATAAATACCAGAGAAAGTATTTAAAAGAAACTTACTCTTCTCCGACGTCTCTGAGTATGTTGGTAAGTTGATTAGCAATGCCAAGTGCCAATGCAGCATTGTAGATGCTCTCTGTTGAAGCCTTTGATTGTGGTGCTATCCCCATTACAGGAACACTCATAAGACCAACTGTTCCGGCGACATAGTAGCAATAAAGGTATAGTTCATCAAAGTTATTGTATCTTGACTTTCTCAGGTCCAGCCTCATCCCTTCAATCATGTCCTTAAAAGGCTATTCAAACACATGAAGATCAGTTTTTTTTTCTCATAGAATTAAGTAATTTATACACTCATCTTTTCTAAAATTTGCTTAAAAGCACAAAGAATTAATAAAACCACTGGTTACCATATTTCTATTCCCAACTGTTTTAAGTTATTACCAGCCCTATGTACGTTAGTCATGGTTCAACCACGACTAAACAAATAGAGGCTCTATTTTACCAAAGTTAAACAGTGGCAAATATTTTACGAGGGGTTGATTTAATCACTATTAAACGGTTATAAATTTTAAAACCGTCTTACATGCTCTCAAAAACAGTGATGTGCCTAGTCCGCTAGTTTGAGTTATATTGTACAAAGTTAAAAATCAAACTTCCAATTATGTGCATGGGGCTTACCTGTATATCAACAGGGTACTTTGTGACAGTATCTGAAAGTGCAGCATCATACATATCATAAGGACGACCTTCGAAAACATCGGTTAATCTTTGTTCCCATCTGTCCAAGGCCTTTGGTGTGATGTGTGATGCATTAGGACCATCCACTAGTTCATCTGTTCTTCTGCACCACACTGTATAACACATAAAGAGTTCTCAACTTTTATTTGAGAAAAGCCTTTGCTAAAACCAATTTGAGATTACTAATTGAACCTACCATAAATGGCCCAAATGGCTTTTCTCCTCTCTTCTGTCATCAATTGTGTGCCTAAAATTTCAAATTTTGAATTAACCAATCAAATTTTCAAATATAACATCTAAAATGAATATACCAGACACGGATTGTTATTTGTTTGTCTTCTATTTCTGTATAATCTTTATTATTATATATATATATATATATATATATATATATATATATATATATATATATATATATATATATATATATATATATATATATATATATATATATATATATATATATATATATATATATATATATATATATATATATATATATATATATATATATATATATATATATATATATATAAACAAATATTTGATAGAGAAAGAGGTACCTAGATAAAATGTCTTGGCATACTCAGCACAAACATCACCACACCTATCATAAGCCGAACTCAAAAGATCACCATTGGTGAAATCACCTTCAATAGGCTTAGTATCCAAATTCAAACCTCTCTTCTTAACAATTCTTCTTTGCTCCTTCACTAGTGCTGCTTGTTTCAACACCACTTCATACACCCTCTCCTCTGAAGATCTTGTAGGTTCAACAACCGCACTTGAAAAGCTAGCAAAACTAATTCCAGAACATCTCTTCTGAATTCTCACATCTCTTCCTCCAAGACCCATCAAAGGAATGGCATTCTCTTTGAGTCCACAGTTCACCCAAAGAAGAACACCAGACATCATAGACAAAACACAGTTCTTTTGAATGGATGCAAGCAACTTTGAATGGATGCAAAATAAGTGAAGTAGAAAGATAGAGAAGCTGAAAAAATTGTGAGGATATAAAGAGAAAAAGATGTGAATGGGAATGAAAGGCTTGTGTTAGAGGCACATATTTTTTATTGAGGAATATGCTATCACATGTAACCTTAGCTGACACTTGAAAATGTATGGTCAGTGATTGTGTAATCCTAAACATGAAAAACTTGTTTGTCGTTATTGCATGACATTTTTTTTAGAAGGAAAATAAAATTACATTTTTCTCTCTTTTTCAGCACTTTTTAGTGGTCCTGTCTTTTGTTTTCTTTGTAAGGGTTATGTGTCTGGTTTTAGGCAAGTTGTAAACTCTAGTATGTGTGTTTGCCTTCTCCACACAAATTTATTTCATGTGTTTAAATTATAAAAAGAAAAGGTTTTTGTGGTGTTTAAAATTTTTAGTTGATTTTTTTTTTGCTTTAACATAAAAAATAGTCAAATTTATTGTATTATGTTTTAAAAAATTAATTGAAAATTTGTAACATTTTTTAAAGAAAAATCTACCTGACAATATTATAATGTGAAACACTAAACAAGAGCATTTATGTGAATCATTATATTTTTGTTCGATTAAAAAATTTTTTCCACTCGTTTATTTTTGTTTCAAGGTAGAACAACAAACATGTAGTGTTAAATGGACAAGTTTTTCCGGTATGGTGGTGAGAGCTACTAACGCTGGAGTGGAGAAGACTTGTAAGGTTAGTATTCTAATGTCTAAGTTCGTGAATTCAGAGACATGTAGTTTTTAGGGTATGAGTGAGATAATGCTTGAAATGGCGAGTTGTTGGGCTTATATATGAAATTCGGTTGAAACCACCTACGTCTAACTCGACGTGTGATGTAGGAGACCTCTCGACCAGATCTAACGACAGACGATGCTTGGGTGATTCGGATCAGGTACTCAGTTTTCTTTTGTTCTTCCTTTAGTTTAAGCGATGCTTTTCTCTTTTCATCTGTCACTTTTTCCCTGATTTTGCATTTCATCGTCATTTCTAAGTTCCTAGGTGATTTTCTTATCGTCTCATTTGCTTCCATCTTTCTCGTTTCTTTGAGGTGATATTTCTCTCTTATTATCCCACAATTGTTTTCTTATTCACTCTTTAGCCATTGCCAACTTAGGAAACCGAAACCTGAATTTTGTGGAACTATCTATCATAGATAAGATAAATGATGCTTCCTTGCGTGCTAGAGTTATTGAGCCAGAGGTGTTGGATGTGGTTCCTCTAGCCGTGATACCTCCTCATTTTAATGGTAACTCTGATTCTAAGAGGAGTTTGATGATGGTGGTAACAAATTGTTGCACCCTAAAATTTGCCCAACATTTCTTTACCTAGCTTATGTTTCATTTCATTCACATTAGCATTATCATTTGCATTTCATTGACATGTATGCAGGAGATCAAGAGGTATGATTACCATTCAAGGGCTACACAAGAGTTTGAAGTTAGCCAAGAAGGTTATTCAAGTGTTCAAGGGTTGATATCCTTGCCAGAGAAGATAAAAGATCCTCAGAGAGAATGGTTGAAACCAAGGTTGTGTGCCTCCTAACTTGAGAGTTGTGGGAGCTCCTCAGATGATTCTGAAGCCATGAAGTTAGACTTGAAGCCTTGAGAGAGCTTATGAGATGTCTTGAAAGCCATCATGAAGCCTAGACAGGTCATTGTGCAAGATTAAGAAGACCCAGCCATGAGTGGTGTAATTAGGGTTTGACTAGGTCAACCCTAGGTCAACTGATGATTGGGAGAGGGTTGAGACCTAATCCAAGAGCCATGTGATCATGGAATGACACATTGAGATGTTATAAGGATGATTCCAAGGTTAACTCATCATGATTGAAGAGTTTGAGAAGTTTCAAGCTAGGGTTTCTAAGGCTTGACAGTGTAAAATCCCCTAGTTTGACCCCTATCTTCAAGGCAGTTTAGCTCAAGATGTGATGGTCATCTCATCTTGCCCCCAACATGAATGTTGTAGAGCATGATCTTAGCTTTAAGTTGAGTACTAGAAGTCCTTGATAGGATTTGTAGAACTCAAGTTATGACTTTGACAAGTTATAGGTCATCTGAGGTATGTGAATTTGGGGCCTTGAAAGTTACCCAACTTGCATCAAACTTTTGCCTAAGAAGGATGATTCCTATTGACCTTTGGTCAACATGAATGTTGTTTCTTATCCTCTTAGCTTTCTAGAGAGTACTAGAAGTCATTGATAGGATTTGTAGAACTCAAGTTATGGCTTTGACAAGTCAAGGGCATTTTGGTCATTTGGAGATTACAGGTCATTTCAAGTATAAAGCCATAACTCCTGTTTCCAAGCTTCAAATGGAAAAATATTCAACATCAAACTTGTTCAAAATGATGTTTTAAGGCTATTAAGGAGGTCATGAGATGATGGAAATGCTTGTAGCTCAAAGTTGCAAAAATGACCTAAAATAAGGGCATAAGTTAAATAAACCAAAGTTGGAAATTGATATTTTCAACCTACATATCCAAACAATGGCATGTAATATATCATTTTGACTCTAGAAAACATTTTAAGAACATTGGTTTAGCCACATTTTTGAGTTGAGATTCAATTTGTGGACTTGCTTTGAAAAGTGATTACTTGCATATTAAGTAACATGTGCAAAGCATAGAATCAAGGCATGAGCAAGGTCCTTTGCAAGCTAAACACTTTCAAAATGTCACTAGGGGAGAAATTGAAAGAGAATGTGATGGTTTTCAAGCTGCAAACAGAATTATGCATGTCATGATAAGTGATTGAAAATCTCATGACATGAGAAGTGGAAACTCTCATTAGAAGGATCTAGAGGGTTCTAGATCACTCATACATCATCTATATATTGAATAGAGTTGATCCAATGCAAATGTTGGTGATGATTAAAGGAGAGATCATAGATTGAGATTGAGATTTCTTGGATTGCATTTGAATTCGGTTTCATCAAATTCTTCACTTTCCATCCATTTTCTTGATTGAAACTTCTTCCATGGATGCTAAGGATTGAGTCCAGATCATAATCAAGAAGAATTCGTGGCTAATTGGTGCTCTTGAACTCAGAATTTTCCACCTGCAAGTCACCATCGGATTTCAAGATTTAGGAGCTTTCAACCGGTTATTTTGCATACAGAAGCAAGGAGAGGGTTCATTGATCGTGTATGCAAGATTGGAGAGCTTGAATTGGAGGTTTAGTGCATCTGTTCATCCAAGATTTTCAGGTTGGTAACTTTCTTCCTCTAGCAAGAATTAGGTAGAATCAAGGTGAATTAAGGTGTTAGATTCATTGTAGAATGGTGTAGGATTGATTTCAGACCATTAATTTGAGAATTAGAGACAAAATAGGTGAGTTACCATTTTCGGTTGAGATTTGGATATGGTGAATCTTGAGGATTTAGGTTGAATTAAGGGCATGAATGAGTTCGTGAGAGAATTTAGGACATGTTTCATGTAGAGACCGTTTGCAATAGAGGCTCCTAGAGAGAACTAGGGTTGAGGAAGACGACCGGAACACCACCGGCGGTGGCCAGAGCTGGGCGCGAAGTTGCAGAGGTTTGAGAGGTAGGAGATGACTCTGGGACCATCAGATCTTGGTTGGACCTTTGACTAGAAGCTCATCCAACGACCACGTTTTAAACTTAGTTTGTGAAGGATCTGAAGAAATGAAACGCATCGTTTCATTTAATCAGTGGTTCTGGGCTTAGTGAAATAATTGTTATCCACACCCCCCTGATGGTCCAACCCATAGTTTGAACTGATTTCAATTTCTATTTGCACCGCGCGTGTTATTATTTTTATTGGATTTTCTTTATTTTTTCATTTTATTCATGGTTCTTGAAAAATTCATAATAAATTGAAAATTAATCCAATTAATCCCATTCTTTTTGCATTTTACTCATGATTGAGTCTAGTATTTTTTAGAGAAAAAATATTTTCATTTCATGTATTTTCTGATTTAATGGGAATTTTACATTTTAATTGATATTAAAATGGTTATGTTTGATACATAGTTTTATGGAATTTTGTATGATCATGTGGTGATGATTTTGATCCTAATTTTTTGTGTGTGATTAGGTTAGACATGTATGCTCCCATAGCATTTTTCTCACATTTTTGTGATGAAAATAGGTGTGCTTTCTAGATTGATATTTAGGTGCCTCCTTTTAGGGTTTAGGTTTAGTACCTCATAATGTAGAATTTATTTCTAGGTCTAATTTGATGATTTGATCTCTGAAATTAATGTGGTAGAGTCATGATTGACCTAGGTTCCCATAGTCATTTTTGTAGGATTTTACAATTGGTTTTAGTATTTTAGTTAGGACTAACTTTAGTACTAGGTTTTAGGTGATCCTAACTTACTAATTCAACTAGTTTAACTTCCTTAGTCCCCTTAGATTAGGGTTTTTGCTTGGTTTGCCTTTGGTTGAGATTGAAGACAAGTTGAAGACAAGGAGAGGATGCTTGAAGTTGCTTGAAGTTGCTTGGAGTTTGGAATTGCTTATGCCTGAAGGTGTCTGATGAAGATTTAGGAGATAGGAGCCATAGGGAGAGCCTTATGATTAGAATGACTTCTTTCACAAATATGGAAAGCATCTTGTGCTTCCATTCCTCCCAATGACTAAAATTCCTTCCAAGATATTCACATCCCTCCTTTGGAGGGATGAGTGGCTTTATCTGGGAAGTAGAACTTTGAGGGAACCAGTCTCTCATAATGATGAACCCTTACAGGCTTCCTTTGGTTGTCAGTAAGCTGCTTATCATTTCCACTCATTCTGTTAAATCATTTGTCTTATGGTTTGAGTATCTTGAAAGATGTTGGACTTGAGTTTGAAGATGAGGACTTCATTGAAGAGTGTGGAAGAGGATGATTCCTTGAGCATTGCCATTGTAGCTGAAGCTTGAAGAGCAAGAAGAACAAGTTGATACTTGAAGGTCCAATT